GGAACTAAGCGTTACCAGTTTCGCAAAATTAGGAGGCTTGAGAGCTTATAGTATAGATAATGTATTTTAATGGTATGTTGCATGCAATAATTCATAAACGAGAGGATAGGCTTTTCTAAAGGGCGGGGGATATACATATTCCCTGTGGGCACGGGGGACACGTAGGCACGTAGGGGTGGGCGCGTGGACGTTCCAAAAACGAATGCGCGGTGTCCGCAGGGTGTCCGCCGTTTCTACCAGAGACACTTTTCGTATTTATTGGATTTAACTTTTTACAAATGTTCACAGAGCCAGGCAAATAGATTCCGATGGGCTTGCGTAGTAAGATCCATAATTGAAGAACTAGAGCAGCTGCACAGTGGTGGTGTAAATCCATCAAACGAGGAAGCAAAAGGTTCAGTCCAAAGGAAAGGAGCAGACTTCAACGTCAGAAGGTGTGGGAATGGATATTGGATAATAAAGGAAAGGAATTCCAAATCAGAGATATTCTTGATTATAACAATAAAACAAAATTGTTCGAGTCAAACAAAGACCTAGCAAAAGGAATTTCCTATGCTTACATGTATTTATCGGATAAGATTCATGCATATGCAGCTAATAATTATATTAACATTGACGATAATGTACCTCTGATAGAAGACAGAGAAGCTAGTAAGGCGATCAAAGTCTTAACTTTCAACAAAGAATTCCCTTATATACCACAGGCAGCACAGGCTTAAACGTTGAGTAACGAAGAAATAGGTAAGCTGCCTCCTGAACTGGAATGAGGAAACCATGTTATTGTAAAAATTTAATTTTTTATTTTGTACCCATTAATACTTGATCTTTCGAAAAAACCTAGTTTGTAAGTATGTACTATTTTTCAATTCACACTTATTGTGTACATTTTGTTTTTAATTAACTATGAAAGGCATTTAATCTTGAAATCCGAATTTAAAGCAATAAAACCATCAAAACGAACAAAGCTTTATCCTTTTCATCGATGCTTCGACCCTCAAGATTTATTTTCTCTTCATCCCTCATACTTCTCAACCAGTGGGACATGAAGGAAGGTTCTAGAAAATTTAAGAAGCCCACCTGCATTTTTAGAAGTTTCTTTTCGAGTTATATATATATTCCTAACCTAAATGTTTACGAGAATTTTTGAATTTTGATTTGTAAACATTAGATTTGGTATGTTATGATGGTTTTTGCAAGTTAGTAGAAATCGCATACACGGTAATTCATATATATACATATATATAGTTAGTTAATTTTATTTAACGACGATCAGTGTATATATATATATGTATATATATATTCTTATGGATTAGGAGTTGTTGCACCATGCAAGATTTCCGGAGTTGTTGCACCATCGTCGAAACCCGTATATATAACGAGGGAGGGAGTGAAAACATTGTTGCCCGTTTATTATAAAGACCCAATTTCGATGATTGATCAATATATTCCTTAAAAATTATACATTTGCAACTTAAAAATCCGCATACGTACTAGGAGTTATTGCACCATGGTGGAAGCATTACGTAGTAGGAGTTATTGCACCAGGTGCAAGTACTCCACTGCCGGGATTTATATAATCAACATTCATCCGGTTTTGATGATATCGACCGTTCATTTTAAAGAAGAATGTTTAATGATATTTTTTGAATGGTGGTTATTTATTTTTAAGCAAATAACAAAAAAAAAAAAATCTAAAATTAAAAATGCTTGGGAACGAAGATATGGTTTTCAATAACGATATCTTCTGTCTGTAAAATTAAATCTTTAAGATTTTTTTGTCCTCCTTCGATCTCGGAAATTACAAACTTGCAGATTTGCCAGCACCCGTTACTAATTCGAATCGCATGCCCGACGTTGCAAAATTTACCTTAAACTGATAATGATTTGGTTTTGTTTTTGCCGCCAGACGATTTATCCTCCTTCAATCTCGGCAGTTTTCGGACCAATTTACACCGTATTTTTGCAAATGAAAACTCTTAGTCTCTAAATGAA